CTCTCAACGCGCGCTCTCCGGCGACGCGGCCACGCAGCCACGCAGCATGCCTAAACGCATCTTTGCGATTTGATTCGGAGCCAGCGGCCGGCAGATAAAGCAAGTCGCGAACACACGAAGCCCCAGACAAGAGACTTGCTAGCTGCTCTGCTGGCCACAGCAGCAGAAGATATACGCTCCGACTCACGATTGCGATTCGAGTGATCGACTTGATCAGCCTAGCGTCAAGCGTGCCTAGCTCCCTCGCCCGACCTTTGCCCCAGAAAGGCTTGCAGTCTCGAGTCGCCTATCGCCTATCGCCTATCGCCAGGCCCCTCTGCAGCTTGCAAAGGACGCGTTCAGGAATGCTCTCTGCAGTCAAGTGTCTGAACCCTACGCTAAATAAGCGGGGTTTGCAGTGCACCGAGGCTTGGCCTTTCTTGTGCGACAGTGTGCGATAGAAGACGCCAACTGCTGCCTCGGCCTCGCCCGTTGATGCTTGTGACTCAGACAAAACATCGTCTAGCGTGCCATCGCTCGATCAAGACTCTGACTACGCCAGACTCACGACCGAGCGTCGAGTGGACATGCAAATGCACTTTTGACCACGCCGCATTCGTGATTACGCGGTCGGACTTGAGTGACACTACTCGCTCAAGACCACCGTCCATCCGAATCCCCTCCTGAGCCGTGTTGCAGCCGCACGGCGTCTCATTCTTGAAGGCAGTGGGGGACGCATTCGTGATTGACACGATTCTGGACAAGCTTGGCACAGCAGCATGGCTTGGTGACACGATTCCACCCTACGGACTTCGTGCCAAGAACTGCCCCACACTCGGCCTTCGCTTTAACGTGCCTTGCGCTCTTCGCGCTCGGAGAGGCCTCGACGAAGAGCAAACTCGAGTCGTTGATGAATCACGAGACGTATGTTCAAAGTCTTAAGTTAAGAGTCCTGTTCCAAAAGGATGAATGTGACAGCCTTCATCATGTGCCCCTCCTTTGGGGAAATGTATCAAGCTTCTTGAGAAGGATACGATACCTTGCGGACCCGATGAAGACGATTCGTGATTGTTGTGAAGCACGATCCGTTCACCCCATCATTCACATTGCTCTGCCTTTCATCGCGATGCTTCAGGACATCACGTGAAGAAACATAATCGTCCACACCGGATGAGCCAGTCGCGAGTCAAATTCGCGGTAGACTACTCACGATTAGCAGACTCGGATGACTGGTTGCAAGCCTGCCAACAAGCCTTTTCTTAGCTGGCCGATGTCGTGTGAACAGACATTTGCGGCGCTCGCATGCCCACGGCGCATGCCGCTATGTGAGCATCATCAAGTCGTGGACCGTCAAATGACAGCTGCATGACGAGTCGTGAAAGCTTTGTCGAGTGATGAATCGTCAGGTGGATCGACTTGCCGGTCAGGGCGGTGAGGAGAGGAGAGCGCGTGGTCGTTCTTGAGGCTGTGCTGCACACAAATCTGAGTGGCCATACAGTAGCCGCCTTGATTGCATGCAGCACAGGCACGTGGAGAGCAAGCAAACTCATCCATCAGCAGCAGGCGGGCGCATGCTCTGCTCAACTCAGACTTGACTCGGCACAGCTGCCCCGCGTGAAGCGACAAAGCGTCTGCGCGCGATGACAGCAGCGCTCCACTTGTTCTCGAGCGGCTATGCGTACTGCATGGTATGCTGTGCTCGCAGGCATTGGCTGTACATGCAGCGATTACGTCCTTCGCAAGCTCCTCCCTCCATCAACACCACAGTTCCACCCTTATCGGTACCTCGAAGCCGCCATCAGCTTTGTTGTTGACATCCTCTGAAGACTGAGCCGCGCCAGCACTGCTTTTGTGCCTTCTCCAATCATGAAGGGTGCATTGAAGGTGAGAAGCACCCAGTCGGGCTCAAGACGGAGCAAATCGCCTGCAGATGCTGATGCTGGAACGATCCACGCCTTCTGATCATATCAGTTTGCAAAGCGCACGCCTCACCTGCTTCAGGGCAAGGTGGGCATGGCTGCCAAATCGCATGATGCCGCGTTCGACGAGCTGAATAGGAAGTTTGGTCAGTTTGAGAAGAATGCGGATCATTTGCACAAGGACGCCACAGCGATGAAAGATGGGATCAAAAGTGAGCGCACAGAACAACCTTCTACGGTCTGGAGCATGACTGATTGATGCGCACCGCTGATCGTCCCGCAGACATGCTGTTGAGCGGTGCTGGTTTCGGATCTGCCTTCGCGAACCTCTTCGCCAACGCGTCAAATCGGTCGGCTTATCCAAAAGCTGAACAGACCGCAGCATACCTACCCATTTACGATGCGATGATGGAAGAGCTTCGCGAGACTCTGACTCCAGAAATCGAGCTGATTGAGAGTCGAATCATCAGTCCTGCCAACGAGTTCATCGGGATCTGCAAAGCCGTACGGAAGAACATCACAAAGCGCGATCACAAGGTGGGTGAAAGGGTCAGGCGTGCATTCTCAATACGTAGGGAAGAAGAGGCAAGGGTTGTCTAGCGAGGAGGGAAATGAAGCGGAGGCATGTTTGACCTGCTTCGGCATGCGTGGTTTCTCGGCAGACTTGTCTCTTGAAATGCCGGACTTCGAGTCTACGACTTGAGATTTCAGTGGCAGCATACGTTCCCAAAGGTCAGCACGCGTGCTGATGCTTACTGTTGGCCCACAGCTCATCGACTACGATCGCCATAATAATTCATACACCAAGCTCAAAGACAAGAAGGACAAGACGCTGAAAGACGAACAAAACCTCTTCAAGGTGGAGCAGGAATTTGAGACCGCAGCAGCAGATTACGAATACTTCAACAACAACCTGAAAGAGGAGCTGCCGCGGTTCTTCGAGATGGCGCAGCGCTTCATCACGCCGATCTTCCACAGCTTCTACTATATGCAGTGAGTCAGACGCGTGTCAAGGCCTTCTCTAGGCTCGACTACAACTCTCACTTGCTTGTCGCTCTCTTGTTCTGGCAGGCTCAACGTCTACTACCTGACTCTGGACAAACTCCAAACATTTGCTGACGGCAAGTACGATGTTGCAAAGATGTCCGGGATCAGCATTGAGGACACCTACGTGCAGCAACTTAATGATGCTGCCGAGCGGTTGGAGGCTTTGACAATTCGCAAGCCGACTCCTCCAAGTGGTGAGTTCACCTGCCCCACCCGGATTCAACCCAGTGCGCTCACAAAACGTGCCGGTTATTATAGCTCGTGTTCTACAACAAGCGCGCAGCGGCTCCAGCCCGGCCTCGCCTCCCGCATCTCGATATGCGCCACCACCCAAGGCTGCTCCTACGCACAATCGAGTCGCTTCAGCCTCGACTGCGTCTGCGGCTGCACCTCCTGCGTACACCGCTGGAGCATCGTCGGCTACCAGCAGCGCAGCGGCGGGTAAGCGAGCGCCTCCGCCTCCTCCTACCAAGCCCAAGCCTGGCGCAGCGCCTGGTGTGACGTACGTCACCGCCCTTTACGATTACACCGCGCAAGCCGATGGCGACTTAAGCTTTTCGACTGGAGACAGGATAGGTGAGTGTGTGGATTGGTGTCGCAGCCCATCGGTGTGCTGCGCTGATGCGGCATCTCGGACAATGCCGACAGAGGTTGTCGAGCGTACAGCCTCCACAGAGGACTGGTGGACAGGCAGGGTGCATGGGGTGCAGGGTGTCTTTCCAGGGTGAGTGGTCAAGCGCTTTCATTTACGTCTGATACTCGCTCAACGGTGTGATGCTCGAAATCCAGGAATTACGTTCGAGAGGGGTGAGCACCCTTGCTGCCTCAACCGCGATGCGTCGTTTTCCATTCTTCATAACGCTGGACAGCTTGTTTGCAAGAATTTTGCACGGACGCCCCCCTTGTCGATTGCGGAGACTTTTCCAATTTGAGACCTTTCTTCGTCAGGCTACGTTTGCAAAGTGCTCGTGCTGATGCTTGCACGTCTCTCGAACTTTCGGGTCAGGTAGGCCCTTCGTGAGTCGGGCATGATTCTGCGGGATGCCTTGGGGCTCGAGCCAAAAGTAGCGCGAGGCTAGACGTAGAAGGCTGCAGCCCTGTGGTTCGTAAGTCTGAACCAAGCAGGCCCACGATCATCGATGCCTACTTGGCGCTGGCGTTGGTCCGTATCCAAGTACTGTACTGTGGCTTTGGTGGGCTTGTATCTCGGCACGTGCTCTCCACGGTTGGCGCACATCGCACTTACGATTCAGCGCAGGTCAAGCCAGCTACATCAGCCAAGCCGTCGTCTATGCAGGTCGCTTGCTTAGTGTTGTCCAATGCCTGCGGCCCGGTGAGGAGAAGGGCCACATGCCTCTGCAGACAAACTCCCCGTGCTTGGTACCCTGCGCAGGGGGGAACCGAACCATACTTACTTCCTCTTGCCGACTGCGCCATGGCCGACGAGCAATCACCACTTCGCAGTTCACGCCTCGATCTGGTACGTGCTCGAACGATCCACGATCGCGGCCAGTCTCGAGTGCAGGATTGTGCTCGGAGTGTCAGCGCGTCACCGAGGTGGCCGCATCCCGCCATTTGTCTGCAAGGAATCGTGCATAGCTAGCTGTTCGCCTTCCAGTCATGAGTGAAGTTCGAATAGAGATGCCTTTCGAACCTCCCTTGGCGCCCGCGGACAGAGTCTGCGCGGACTCCGGGCTCGTTGGACATTCACGGCACGAAAGAACTGTAGGGGTCAAAGGCCGTCACCGCTAATCTTGTAGGCATACCTCGGCTTCGCTCGGATCGAGCGCAAACCTATGGCTTCTCTCTAGATTCGCCACCCGCGCGTGCCCGCAAGGAGACCAGACGCACCGCTTGCGGTACGTATGTACAGGTACTGTACCACCAACCGCGGATCTTGCTCCGCCGTAATCCGAGCGTGCAACGACGCACACTCGCGAAACGATCCCACGTTGACGGCTTCGTCCTGTTCATCATTCGAAACTGTTCTATTTTGGATTCCCATGTGCCTACTCCTCAGCACAGGGTACATGTGCCGGCTTGCCCGCGGACGCTTTACGTTCCATCTGCCTGACATCACACAACAAAGCTGCTGGCAGCATGCAAGCAGCAAGCTGGCTGGACTGACGCGGTATCAGATGAGGACAGCAGACTCTCGGGCCCGTCCGTTCCTTGGCCGTCAGGATGCCGCGGTTTGAGACCAGAAGCGCCTCAGCAGTGTAAGGCGGAGATGAGAAACCGGCGGCAGGTGCCTGGCTGGTTGCATCGCAATCGAGACAGTGCAGATGCCCGAGCCGGGGCGCCAAGCTGCGAGCGTCTGCTTGGCGCAGCTTCCGCGCGCAATGGGAGTGGTCTTGCGCAAGACACAAAAGATAAATTAATTGTCTCGCGCATCTGCATGGCTCACCACCTGGGAGCACATGCAACATGCGCAGCTTGATTCCGCGCTGCTGGCCCACGCGCCAGCCAGCAGCTCCGCGGATCTGAGCTGCTGAAGGCTTGTGCGGCTCCAACGCCACAAAATGAATCCACCAAGCGGTGCATGGCGTCGCAGCAGTCTCTTCTGCACCACTCATGCACGACGTTTCTGTGAGGTTCATGCACCAATGGTCTTTTGCCAAGACTCTCTTGTGCATCGCAGCCAAGCCAAGCATTGCATGGTTTGGTGCGTGGTGATACAGCTAGCTGTGCACGTACGCAGCAGCGTTTGAGGTTTGAGGCCGTCACTTGAGGTGTGCTCGATCGATGGAGGAGGATTGAACTTGTGAGCAGAAGCTGATTTGGGAGTGCTCAGGTGTCGCACCCATGTTGCACCATCCAGCAGTGCCGCTCGCTTAATTGCGCGCAGTACCTAATACAGGCTGCGCACCCGCACCGGCTACCGAAGGCTTGCCGTCGGGCGGGATGCAGCACCCGCTTTGGAGTGTCGCCGCAAATTGCCCCTCTCACTGGCGAGGTGGCGAGGTGCCACAATTTTGCTGGGCACTCACCTCTGTGCAACGAAAGGGGAAAGCTAGGAAGTCGGGAGCTATCAGTATCGTATATACGCTATACGCTCCATCCAATTCACCATTCAACCTGGCTGGGCACCCCGCCGTCACGGCATCACAGGTCAGGATGCGCGCTAGAACGGACCTGCCATTCAAGCCTGCGTGCGCGCGAGCACTTCGGTTGCAGATTGCCAAGCCTTCGGTCTTTCGACATTCAAATTGTTCATGGCTGCTTGAGCCAGAGCACGCTACACTGAGCAGCTGCACTCTCGCACATGGTACACCTCTGCCAAGGCTTTGCCCTGCATCGCTTTACCGTACCACAGTCTGACAGGTTGCAGCGCAAATCGCTCTTGACCCTAAATACCACCAAGGTTGGCCTCTCCACGCCCGCTCATCCCAACCTCCCCTTTCAACATCTTGCTTTGACGCTGACATCAGCCCTTGTCATTTCCACATCAATACCTTCACACCAACATTTGCACTTTCTCGCATTTCTGTACGACTGTCCAGTCCGGTCCACGCCTGTCAACATGTTAGCCACACACGGCGTCAACGCCGCTCAAGGCTGGTATGGATCATCCCACGGAGCCACCTCCTCAACGCCAATGTGGAACGCAGCATCGTCCCCTGCGTTTGGCCACACTCACCCTTACGACTCGTCTAGCCAAAGTGGATCGTGGCAGCATCAATCAGCAACACAAAATGGCGCCATTGCCCATCAGACAGGCTCCCAAATGTCGCACACGCTTAGCAGCGCCTCCCCTCCAGGCCCTCAGGCTGCAGGCGGCTACATTGCGACAGGCCGCAAGCGCAAGCGTCTGCAAAGAGCTTGCGTGTCTTGCCACAAGGCCAAACGCCGCTGTGACGGGGGTCTTCCTTGCTCGAACTGCGACTTCAGGTAAGTGTCTTGATGTCGCAACGCGCACACAACGACGCTTCGGTAGACTGACACCATGCTTCATCGACGTCCTGCAGCGGGCGTACCTGCTCCTACTCTGATGCCCAGGGAAACGTCGTACCACCCACGCAAAGATCATGTCCTCCCAGTGCAGCGCCCTCAGCTCCATCTGCTGCGGCGCCCTCGAACATGCCACCGCCAGTCCACAGCAACTCCCCCGTCATGAACATGCATGCCAGATTACACAGCAGCTCTAGCGCGTCTATGAGCTCCGATCATGCACCGTCACAGATTGTCAGCTCGTACGCAGCATCGGCTGGCGCCCAATCTGCGACGCCTTTCTACCCTCAGTCAGAGCCTCGACAGATCAGCAGCATCTATTCGCGTACTCGCGCTACGTCGTCATCCGACTATGCACGCTCTCCCAAGTCTAGCCTGCGGTCGTGGTCCGAGGGTGCAGAATGTCCCCCACCAACTCTGGAGCAGCGCACGTCTCTGATCGAGACCTTCTTCCGACGCATGCCACCATTCAATGCCATCGTGGATGAGGCCTCCTTCTCGCGTGACGTCACCAACGACCAAGTCTCGCCTGTCTTGGCCTACAGCGTCTACGCTCTCGCTGCTCGCTTCCAACAACAAACGTACACCGGCGTGCCTGCCTGGGCTGCCGGCGAAGGTTACGCTCAGAGCGCTCGCCGCATGCTGCACGTCGAAGACACCGAGGGTAACTCGCTGCTCGACACGCCGACGCCGACGTTTGCAACAGCTTTGGCGACGTGTCTTCTTTCTGCGCACGAATTTGGCATGAATCGCACAGTCAGAGCTGGAATCTACATCAACCACTGTGCGAGACTTAGCCGCAGCTTGAACCTTCTCAGCAATCGCACTGATGGTCATCGGAACGCAGATGCGTCGTCTCAGCAGCTAGCGCAACACACTCCACGTTTCGTGTGCGTCGCAGCGATGCTGGACGCCATGATTGCTCTTGTTGTCGGTCAAGCTCCTGCCTTCAGCCCTACCGAGTTGATCGAGGCGCGATCTGCCTACTCTACGGACGTTCTCACCTCCGACGAGACGAGCCGTGCCTTCGTACGGCTGTTCGAGATCACCTCACTGTTGACCAGCGCCATGGAGGCCAGGCGCACTGGCGTCGCTCCGGTCAACGACCGAACCGTCAGCACTTGGGCCAGCCAGCTCCCCGCCAGTGCCCGCTACGACGCGACGAACCTGGGAAGCGCCTCTCGCGCGCTCAATGAGAACCACGACAGACGTTTCATGAGACCACCTACGCCATCCATGTCTTCAATGCAGGCGTGGATCTGGACCAGCACGCACGTCGTTGCAGAGTGCACCACATTCTTGCTGGAAGAGCAGACCAGACCAGCCGCACTTGACAACATCAAGATCATCGTCGACGCCATGGGAGAGGATTGCAGACGCTCACCACTCGTCTTCCTACCGCTCCTGGTCATCAGCGCTCACATGCAATCTAGCACTCCCGAGGTCGCACGCTGGTGGGACGTTGCCCGAACCTACTGGTGCCTGCAGCCCAACGCCACGGCGCATCTCGTGAGCTTGCTGCAGAAAGCCACACCCACGTCGTCCAGCTTTCGACTGGGCTCGCGCTCGCCTCCCAACAAGGGCTCGAACATTCCGGCCCTGGTCCTTCCGTCACCTGCCGGATACGGGCTTCGCCGAAGTCCCTCGGCACATTCGACGCCTGGACTAGGATCGCGTCCGAACTTGCCAGCTTCGCCACCCTCATCGCTCCGTGAGCGCGATTCGGCAAAACTGCCAAGGCACCACTCGAGCGCATCAGGCAATTTCCTGCCCTCCTTGAATCGTCTGCCTTCGCTTCGACTGAGCCCACCTTTTGTCAACGGCGACAAGAGCAGTCAAGGGGACGATCAAGCTGCTTCCATCGGTGCTTCTTCCCCGTCCAACTCGAGCGTCACTGGCCCTTCGTACGAGTCCGTCTCTGCCAACACATCTTCCAACGGTCCTCGATCTCACAATCAGGCACCACTGTCCGTGCTCGATGGTGCGCGCAACGTCTGGGGTCCCTTTGCCGGCTCTCGCGACCGTGATGCGCGCAAGGCTTTTGTCTGAGACGTAGACCACGCTCCTACCCGACCTTTCCCACATAGTCACGATCATAGCGTGTCGTGACGCCTAATACTGTATCACTATTCGCCTTGCGATGTTGTAATCAATTTTGAAAATCCTTGCTACCATCAACTTGGCAGACCTAGCGTCTTGCAGAGCTTACTACATTCACTTGAGATGCTGGGATAGCATACTAGACGTGGTGTGGGCTACATGATGATCAGATGATGCTTGCTGGTCACCTCGACCTAGAGTCTAAACGCGACGTGGATGGTGACCCAGTGTGCCCCAATAAAGGTTCACGACCGCTCGTGCGCTTTGACAAGGTTCGCCTCCGGCATTGCCTGTGGTGTTGGATGGCAAAGCAAGAGCACATCAGCCAAGGGAACATGTACGCTCATTACAGGCAGAAACTGCGCTCACGCTTTCTGCTTGAACGCTGTCGATCTGCTTCTTGGCCTGCCAGTCAGAGCGCAGGGTGCGCAAGAGCGTATCAGTCCATCAAAATTCGACATGTTCCTGCACATCTTTCTGCTCACCTCTTCCCAATTCTGACGATTCTATGATCGCGCGAGAGGGAAAGGGGAAAAAAAAGGGGGGGGGTCAGACACGTTGTGGAGAGTTCGGCAAGAGCCAGGAGCAACGTGAAAAGCATGAAACTTACAACTTTGCAAAATTCCCGATGGAACTTGGCGTAGCCGATAAACATTCTCCTCAAGTCGTTCACCTTGTCCCTCTGAAACCCATCCAAGCTTTGTTGAATGGCGCTAGTGGCGAATCTGAGATCGTCTGCCGTCAAAGACAAGCCCTCGTCCAATTCTGCGATGCTCGATCTCAGCTTCGAGATGTTGCTCCTCCGCGTGGACTCTGGATCCACATCTAAAACGCTGTTGAGCGTGTGACTCAACGCGCCCAAGAAGCCACCGGTGCGCCGCGGAGGTGCAGCTGCTCGCACAGCAGCCGGATTGCTCATCGCCGTCTTGGCAGATGGAGCACCTGCAGCAGCAGCTTTCCCAGCTGTGCTGTGCGCCGTCGAGTCGCTACGCGTGGATGCGCCGCTCAAGCTGGACCCCGGCTGGCTAGGAGCTGCGCCGTCTACCCACTCGTCAGCATCGCCATGAGCATTACTGTTCGCATGGTTGGCATCCGTCCGAGGCGCCGCTTCTTCATCCTCCTCAGCAGCAGCGCCAAATACGCTCTTCCTCATGCTCTTTGCATTGACGCTATCCCACACTCCTTCGCGACTTTGAATGGGTGCAGCGGTCGAGTTCGGCCCAAGAGAACCCTCATCCCACACATTCCGGTTCCCAGCGTCCAGAGCCGCCGTGACTCTGGTCGAGTGAGCTTCGACGCGCTCCAAGTCATCGAGCTGCTGACGCTTGCTCTCCACAGCCTCTTCAGCCAGCTCGAATTGGAGATGCTTGAGATGTCTCCACTTGAGCAATTTCTGCAGGATCACGCCATACTGGGCGTATTCCGACAGGGGCTCTGTGAAGGTCGACTCCCACTCTTGTAGCTGGGGCGAGAGCATGCAAGTCTCGTCAGCATGTCCATGCACTGGATGGCTGACTCCGTCGCCTGTAGTCGTCTTGACATTCCGCTCACCATCTCTCCAATGCTCATGAAAGTCCCATCTGCAGCTTGCCCAGTCCGCTCGATCGCGGCTGCCAAGTCGCCAGATTCTCCCAGGCTGAATCCATTGAGAACAGCACCGAGCTCCGCGTAGTCCGAGGATGATTCTGGGGATCGAAGAGATCGAAAGATGCACCCACGGTGTCAGCTAGGGTATGGTAGCACATCCCTCATTCGCCTTCGCTCACCCTGCCATCTCCTCGTAACCCTCCTGTTTGATCTCTCTAGGCTTCCGCCCACATGCGCAGCCCAGCGATTGGTAAACGCTTCCGAGTCTGCAAATCGCCCATTCGGATTCCTCAAAGGCGTTGCAGCGGATGGAATGGGCAATGCTGCGTAGGCGGATGAGGCATTCGGATCTGCTGGGTCTCGCACTGGCGCTCGCAGGTTAGACTTTGGAAGGATGGCCACGGGTGGCGTAGTGCTAATCTCATGCTAGGAAGAATCAGGCACGAGCTACTGGTGTCAGCCCTACAAGCTTCTCGATAGCGTAAGCCGCTGACGACTTACCCAGCTCTCGCGCCCATCGCAGAAGCGTCGCAGTACTTCGTCTTTGCCAATCACTGGATCCTTTGCACATCTCATGAGGAAGGTCCCAAGCATGCGTCTCCTCCTAGCAATGATCGTAGCATCCTCCTTTGCCTTGCCCTGCTTAGCAGCATAGTCGCCCAGACTGTGTTTGGGGGGAAGGGGTGGCACGATGCGAGTAGGATGAAGCGCTACCAAGGCTGCTCTGAAAGCTTCGAATTCGGAATACCGACGCTTGGCAGAGATGCCCAGCGCCGGAAGCGAGATGACGTAGACTATAAAGGTGGATGGACCTCCATCTGATGACTTGAGAGCATCTGTCACGTGAATGTGACCATGAGATCCAGGAGGTAGTGTGGCATAGGCCTGGCGACTCGAGAGGTGCGTAGTGTTCAATCAGCGCGGCAAGGGTGAGCTTCGCCAAGTCACAAGCTATGCTCACCTCTGCCTGTGTGCCTTTCTTACTGCTCGAGCTTGGCGCCGCATCCCAACTTGGCAATCCGCTCTTGACGGGAGCTACAGTCGATGCGCTAAGTGATGCATCCCCATCATCTGGCGCTTTGTTGGCAGGTGCATCATACGATTCGCTTGGTGCATCGTGATTCGCGTGCACTCGTTCTTGTGGCCGACTCTGAGATTCGAGGTGAGGCTTGCCGCCCCACATCGACGCCGAATTCTCTCCATCGTCCAATTCGTCTCGGGAAGCGCTTTGAGTGTGGTGAGATATCTGCTTGGCTCTGTTGGCAGCATGCGGTGGGGCAGGTACGGGTTTGTCTGGTGTAGCAGGCGGTTTCTCATCAGCACCAGGTGCGGATTCCACCTCAGCACCATCGGCTGAATCGCCCTCTGGCTCCAAAGGGGCGTCAGGAATGTTGTAGGCGCCGTCGTCTGCATGAGATCCGGAGGATTGGTAGACGAAAGGATCCTCATCATCATCCTCTGTGCCCGACGAACTTGTCACTACCGGCTGCGAAGCATGCGCAGAACGCTTGTCCTGGACACTCAGGGTGTTGTCTGGCCCGCCGTTGCCAGCTGCACGCGAGCCGTCTGCTTCTGTAGTGGACATGGTGGTAGAAGCCTTGCGGTACTAAGCACGCCAGGCTTTGATGGGTAGTGAGCGCGCGATGACAGGCGAGATTTCGACATTCGTGGTGTCAATGGGAACTTTGAAAAGCCTCGGCCTGAATCGAGGAGCAGGAATGGTGAGGATGATGGCTGCATGCGCGCTCACCGTCTCGGCGGAAGGTGCACCTTCATGATCAGCGCACCGATCGAACATGATGACGCTGGCGTGTGTGCGTGTGCATGCACGCCATGGCAGGCTCAGCAGCAGCGCTGCGCTGCGCGTCTCTGTGATGCACACCTCTCGATCGTCATACACGACTGCGCCGCCACGGTACGTCCAAGACTCACGACTTGCTGGGCTTGGCGTCCCACTCAGCAGGCAGAGCCTCAATCCATGACTCGGACCCCGCGAGTCGCGAATTTCTTGATTCACGACTCACGATTCACGATCTCAACACAGTCGTGCGTGATGAGTCGTGAGTCGTGAGTGAATTGTGGCTTGGGCGCGGGAATGAAAGTGGAGCGAGCGTGTGTGGGATGGAAAGCGTGCGAGGTTTTGCTGCACGCGCGTCACCCACCAGTCGTGAGTTTGAGTGTGAGTCTTCTTTTCCGAAAAGCTTCGCTACGTGATTCGTAATTCAGCAACTCACAACAGACGCCGCCCAGCGATCTCATCGCTGCATCTTTCACCATCCCACATATTCACACTCACATTCACATTGCGATCGCACAAGGCTGAATGCTTCTCACCTCTCTCCGTACTCCCACTTTCTCTTCTGCACTTCAGCGTCACCTCCTCCCTCATCGTACCATGTCTATGTCTGCCCAAGCTTACACTCTGGAACGCAGCGTAGCGCTGAGCGCCGTCACCCGCGCTTCTTCCCTCACTTCGCGCGTATTCGCATCCTTGGTGTCCAAGTCCGACCCCTCCTCAGCCTCCGTGACGAAATCCGATGCTTCTCCAGTCACAGTCGGGGATTACGCAGCTCAAGCAGTAGTGAACATTGTGCTCGGGGCTTATTTCCCGGATGATCCCATTGTTGGCGAAGAGGATGCAGCGCATCTGAGAAAACCTGAGAGCGAGACGCTCAAGAGACAAGTGGTGCAGCTCGTCAATGAGGCCTTGGCGCTCGAGGAGAAGGAGGTCGTCGCGCAGCAGAAGAAGAGTTGGGGCGATGGACCGGTGTCGGATGAACAGGTTCTGGCCGCTTTGGACCGCGGAAACCACCAAGGAGGCAACAAGGGCCGTAAGTGGAAGAGGCGCCGGCTGCGACTGGCCCTCGCAACGGCAACGCTCACATCCCTCTGCTCACTGTCAGGCATGTGGGCGCTGGACCCCATCGACGGCACCAAAGGTTTCCTGCGAGGCGGGCAGTATGCCGTTTGTCTAGGGTTTTTGGTGGATGGAGAGGTTCAAGTTGGCGTGATGGGCTGTCCCAACCTGCCACTGGATCCCAAGGATGGTCTGCCAAAGGAAGGAGATGCAGCGTCCAACTCGCGTTCCGATCTCGGTGTAGCATTCATTGCTGTTCGCGGACAAGGAGCTTCTCAAAGATCTCTATCCTCATCTGGCAAGGAACAATCCATCTCGATGAGACAATTCACCAGCGACGGTCTCAAGGACGCATCTTTTTGCGAATCCGTAGAGGCAGGCCACTCGTCGCACGGCACCAACAAGCGGATAGCAGAACTGCTGGGCATCACAAAGGAGTCGGTCAGGATGGATTCGCAGGCCAAGTATGCCAGCGTATCTCGAGGCGATGGGGACATCTACCTCAGATTGCCCGTGGGCGACGGTAGCTACCAGGAAAAGATTTGGGTGAGTAGTTGCGCAGTATGTCTGTGATCTTGCGCGCATCATGTGCGCAGCCGCTACATCAGAGTGAATGCTGATACGCATGTCTGCGTCCTTCATTCCTTCAGGACCACGCGTCAGGCTCATTGTTGGTGCACGAAGCAGGCGGCATCGTTTCCGATTGCAGAGGTAAACCCTTGGACTTTGGACAGGGCAGAACTTTGAAGTTGAACAGGGGCGTCATTGCTGCACCGAAGGGAGTGCATGCGGAGGTGATTCGAGCCGTCGGTAAAGCGCTGGAGGAGGAAGGTCGAGGTCACTTGTAGACTGCGAAAAGAATGCCAAGCCTCCACAGAAGCCCTGCGGTGAGAGGCAGGCTCAAAATGGGGACGCAATACGATCAAGTGAGGAAGCAAGCTCGAGTGAGGATTCAAGACATGTCATGAAGCGTGTGCGTGGATTGTCATGGACTGCCAGCCAGAAGCTCTGCGCTTTGGCCGCACTCGTCCTGGAGTTCTGCTGGTCGTGACTGGACAGCGACGAGTCGCAAAGGCGGTGCCATGTGGACCGCGCGGTGTGGTACTATTGCAACAGCATCTGTACCAGATTCGAGCGTTGAAGAGCGCTCTCCACAGAGGCGCATACCTGAATGCCTGGCTGTGCTCCGGACAGGGTTGGATGTTGCTGGCTACACGCATAATGCAAACATGCGAATGTCGTTTGGGAGATGAGAGCAATCATAGTCACGAGTGAATCACGGAACGTTGTGAGTGCTACGTGAGTGGAGAGGTGAGATGGGCGGCCCGAGCGCGTAGCTAGCGCGAGCTGCACACTCGCGCCGCACTCACCATTCACCATTCACCATTGCACCGACAGCAGCAACTACCACTGTTGACTGTTGACTCAAACTACCATCAGCAGAGGCGCTGATGCTGCTGCAATCACGTGAATGCATGCCCCGCGATGCGCTGGAATCCGTCACGCGGCGGCGTATTCATGATTCGGCGAGGCGAGGTGCGAGGCATGCATGCACGCATGCGCTTCAGTAACAAACGTCTCTTTCTTGGTTATCGTGGTGCGACGCTCATTAGAAAGTCACGAGTCACGAGTCACGAGTCACGAGTTCGCAATGCTTGTTTGCCCTTCTTGAATCGTGCTTGTATTGGATTGTCAGCTCTTCGGACTGCCAGGAAACAACAACATCAACAACAACAGCTGTCACACTCGACTTGCATCACACCGATCCGGTCCGTTGCATGAGCCCCTGCCTCTTCTGACTGCACGTTGCCCAACGCATCACGCTTGCAAGCATCTTGAACTCGCTCGCAAGTTGCTTTGCATTCAGGACCTCGTCTATGGCCAAAGGTTATCCTGCGAGCTGTGCCATTCAAGCAGCCACACAGCTGCTTCAGCTCTCACTTAATCGCACCGCTACCAAGGAGCAGCCTGATCTTGGCCCAGGGAGTGTCTGACCGCTAGGAAGCTCGAGTGGGCAGCACTTCAAGCGTCAGCTGCAACTGCAACCACAAACATCGACGACATGTCGGAACAGTCAGGGCCAGCTCCACCAGAGCCGACGGCTGAGCAGCTAGCGTTTGCCGATGCCAACTTTCAACCTGTAGCGCTCGGTTTGGATCCCGAGTCCAACCAGCTCTCTTCTCCAACGCACGATCTGACAGTCCTCAATGCGCTCATTCGCAGTCTACAAGCGCTACCTCCTCAAATCCCCATCCCACCACCTCCCAACGTCGTTCCGCCTCAACGAAGCATGGCCATTCAAAAGGCAAAAGAGGACGGCAATGCAGCTTTCAAGAAGGGAGACTTGACCGAAGCGATCAGATTGTTCACTCTGGCCATCGACGTTGCCGCTTCCAGGCCGCTGTGGGAGAATAATCAAGTGGCGAGGGATGAGTTGGCAATCTGCTTTGCGAACAGGAGCGCGGCCTTTGCGGAAGCCGGGGACTGGACCGCCGCTTTGGCAGATGCAGAGGGTGTGGTGAAGCTCAAGAGGCCTTGGAGCAAGGCTCATTTCAGAAAGGGCAAAGCTTTGGCGGGCCTCAACAGGTATGCAGAGGCCAGAGCATCTTATCACTTGGGTCTTAGCTTTGATCCGGACAGCGCAGTGAGTGGTATTTGCAGCTCGACGAGGCTTTTTGAGATGCGCGCGACATGTCAAGTATGCTGATCGCATTCCATCTCGTTCGCCTGTCCAAATCGAAGGATCTGAAAGGTGCTTTGGCGGAGCTACCGTCCAATTAGACAGCCCAGCACGCCTGTGAAGGTACACGAGAAGGAGAGGAGCTGGCTGGGAGAAGTGGGAAATGCTTGGCCAATCGGGATGCATCAGAGAAGGTCAACGGCAGAGACTGTCCTTTGCGCGTGATGAGCTAGGCAACCTTCGGGGGACAGGGTCGACACACATCACGCAGAGCACAAACTCACAAAATTGACACAATCGAGACGTGGTGAACGCCAAAAGGGAAGGGTAGTTTCCAGCAAAATTCCGAATGGATAATGAGATTGCACGACTTGCTGCGCGTGCAAAACTGACACAGAAGGATGGCGGTTGTATATAGCGGGGCAATGGCACACGCTCCCTACGCCACTGAAGCTCTTGCAGCACTCCGACGACCACGCGAGACAATCAACGACATATTCAGAGCTCGATGTACTTGTCTTGAGCCGACCTCGGATCGCCAGAGTGAAGCACGCTGTGGAGCTGCCCTATCATCACTGTTGGCGCCTCTTTGCGTCTAATCGCATTCTCAAGCACTTTCGGCGGGTTGCTGCCAGAAGTCGAGCAGCGAGAGCTAGCCAGACTGGATGCTGCCTTCGAATTGGCGTGTGTGGACAGACACGTGTGCGACGTGGCGTCAGAGCTGTACAAAATAGTCCACACTTTGCACGCTTCCACTTCTGACCGGGTGTAGCAGAAAGATGAGGAGCCTTGAGCAAAGCACGTGTCATGATGTCGAGTCATCGAGGCGTTGGTGGACGCTCCAAGTACCCCACCAGTTGCCTCGCTCCCATCCGCGCGCTTGTAGTCGTACCTCGAGAAGAGGAAAGGCCTCAGCAGCCGCTCTTACTGTCGCCTCTAGCTCTCTAGAAGAGCGCAAGTGAGCGAGATTGAAACGTCAGAACAAAGCACCTTTTCGCCTTTCTGTTCACTCTCACTGACCCTGCGCGAAAGACGTGATAATCTGCTCCATCGCGAGCAGGCAGAGTGTGAGCCTAGTCAGCAGAAACTTTCTTCTCCACTTCACCAAATCGCCGGTCTCCTCTGCAAACGCACATCTTTGGTATACTGGCGATGAAACTGCTTCAGCGTCGGCCGGCGTGTCCTTGGCGACATCAAAGCTGACATTTTTACTTGCGCCTTTCTTTTTGGCTGCCGAAGTTTGCAAGACCCAGGGAACCATGAGGTCCTGCTGCTCGGACCAAGTCTGATCCCGAGCGATGCCTCCCGCAGAGGTGAGAGCTGCCTGATTATCTGGCACACTATCCTTTGGCACCTCGGTCTCATCGAAGCGCCGTCTTTCTTGTCCCTTTTGCTCGAGTGCCCAGACGTATATCATGAACTGTCCGGGCCCTCCGAGGATGGTGTCTTCTCTCAGTTCAGCTCCATCCAAGCAGCTTTGGATCTTGGAATCAGGATCGTGGCTCAGTATAGGGCGCAAAATGGGGATCAATTCCTGTGGTGAAACTCGACCAGCGTGTATCTGTCAGCTCAGAAAATCAGATTTGGCAAGGGCCTGACAGTGGACGCACCTTGACGGCGTCGACCCGTCTTTCAAACGTGCTCAGATGGTGTATTGTCGCTATGCTGATTGCAAAATCCTGTCGTGGCGCAACAGAGGCTCGCTTGGTTTAATGTGGAGCAGCTGACTGCGAGCAACGGTAGGACGAAGATGAGGGTGGGGCCTACTCACAAAGATGGCTGGTCGAAGTCCTGAGCTTCTAGCATCGCCCGCCGATACCTCATTTGTGTCGGGGCCAGCCCGCAGCTTGCTGGAGCTCTCGGTCACAGGCTCCACGTTGCTCTTTGCCAGCTCTAGCAAGGGCACACTTCTGTCCACACCTATCATGAGGGACTCGGGGCACGCTGATCGTGCGGATCTCAAGTATTTGCCATTTCCGCAGCCCACGTCCGCGCCGAGGGAGCCCGCTGGCATCGAGGCCAAGAACCTCGGGATCAGAGGCCATGCGCTGTGCCTCGTAGAACTGAAATGCGGTGCTATGACGTCGTACACTCTGTGAGCGCGAGTTTAGCACAAGTTTTGTATGCCAAAGAAAGTTGAAGCGCACACATCAACATCTGAACAGCCCATGCACCTCTGTCCTTCATCCATCCGCAGCTCACCCATGAACAGAGCCGGCTTCGAAGGCGTCAGCATCAAAGGCCGCCTCATCTTCTGGTCTAGGAGCTGGTTTGGGGTCCGAGGCTTTGGCTCTTGCCTGCGTTCTCGCCTGATGGCTTGGGCCAGCTTTTCCTGAAGCGTCGATGTGGCTCATGATGGCGCAAATAGACCTCTTTGCGGCGCCTGCATCCGCTGCACCGCTTTTCCTTAGACGCTTGGCAGGAGACTAGGCAATGGATGATGACCCACTTCCTCCTGCTATTCCGAATGTCTCAGACAAGCAACAGCTCGCCCACGCAGACGTGTTGGTGGATGTGTGGCAAGCAAGGCTCACCATGCAGTCATTGCAGTCAATCCCGTCCTCCTGCCATACAGTACGTGACATGCACGCGCACAGCGGGCTAGCAGCAGGCCGCTGGAAAATCTCGTTTGTTTCCCGCGGCGCGCGCGAAATGCCGTCCGTCATTCACGATGGATCATCGATTCAATTAATCGCGAATCACAATCTCGAATCACACAGCCACCAGTGCGGCGACACGGCGCTTACCATCATCACCCTCCGAAGTGTAGTGCAAGTTGCAACCCATTTACGATCTCCCCATCATCGACCATCGAGGTTGTCATCAAGATAGCGGCGGATCAGCAAGCCCACATGGGAGCCCGTCGATCACTCATCGGATGTGCACAGATCACGATCGTCGCTACACACCCATGGAAGCCGTAGAGGTGTCATTGCAGTCGTCGAGGACGTGCCTGTCCCATTTTGGAGGTCGTCAAGTGCTGCAAAGCCTTGTTCTCGCTTCCACCACTTACTAGTCTAGTTGTCAAGACCCGGGCATTTCTCCGAGTAAGGGCTGTTGCCCGTGAGCTTCTTGTTTTGAATCTCGTAAATGTAGTTGAAGTGATCGCTGGGGTAATCAAACTTGTCACCCAGAGCCTTTGAAATGTCGCTAAGAGCCTTGTGTTCCCAGCAGAGGAGAATATCCGCACCGCTGCTGGATGCAAAGTTCTTGATGCTGTCCTTGGCGCAGTCTGCATCGTCTCGATCGCAGTGATGGTCGATGGTCAAGCCGAGATCTTGAGAGAGGGGAAGCACAGTCTGATAAGGTCTGTTTCGAGATCCGTCAGACTTGTAGTCCTCTACGTGCGCAAATTGTAAGAAAGAAAATTCGATTTAGCTCAGCTGAGAGCGCTACACTTCCTCTAAAGAGATGCTGCTACTGCTACGCACGGGTGATGATGTAGCCAATGTTGTAGCCGCTGCCCTTGCCAAAGACGTTGCGCAGGCATTGAGAGCGTTGCATGCCCTGTGCGCTCAGACCAGCTGGATGACGATCAATCACCTCGCAAAGGATCAGCAAACGCGATGAGCAGCATGAGCGGCACAGCGAGGTCAAAAAAGTGAAGCGTGACTCACTCTGGTCATCATCCGACGGCTTCTCTCCGTGTCGGATGAGAAAGACGCGGTTAGAGTAGGCGCTGACGCTGCTAGCGGCCAACGTCAATGAAGCAGCGACGGCAAGGATGGAGAAGCGAGAGGATAGCATGATTGCAAGCTCTCAACGAAGGGATTGGCGGATGTCAAGAGATTGTGTAGGGACGTTTGGCCTTGTCCAACAAGGATTGCTGAGCAACTGTACAACAAACAGACGCCGCTTTAAAGGAACCCCAAGCTCGCTACAGCCGGGAGTGCAAGGTAACAGCAGAGGTGCACCAAAGACCAAAGACCAAAGACTTGCCAATCACGAATTTCGCTTCTTCCAACTGTGGAGACTTGCCTACAGCCTCATTCCTCGGCATGCGAGTCCCAGATCTGTGGTCGAGCCAATGAAAAGCTCGCTCATCAATCACGAATGCACACGCAACAAGGTTGATGTGCCTGTCGAGCTGCTGCTCGTCAAAGTTTAGCGCACAACGCACAACCTACGGCAAGACTTGCGATCCTATGCCGTGCTCAGCCGGCGGTTACCTGCAATACGGCGCCTACCCGTGCTGCACTCGTGACTCACGACTCATCAGACTCTTTTCCTGTGCCTACGATGAGCGCACTGCTGTGACTGCCTTCTGCATGGTCACCCTGTCTCTCTCGAGGGGTCGATGCCAACTTGCTCTTCAGCGTACCGCCACAGCCGTGGCTGGCGCATTGCAGAGCTGCTAAGGAAGCTCTCGCACAAGCGAGGGAGCAACAAGGTCATATGTCGGCTCGATCGCTGTCAGTATACGGTACAGTAGCTCAACGACCGCGAAAATGTTCATGTTCCGCAGCCGGCGGGCGGTACGCCCCGCGCAGAATGTGAATGATTCGGGCTATAGCAATCAATCAATCACGAATCAA